GGGAGCCGGTGACCTACCTCCGTACTGGTAGATGGTGTTAGGATGGGGCTGGGTGTGGAAACAGGAGCAGATGAGGGAGAGCAGAGACAGCTCCTTCATTTTCTCCTTGTAGGCTGAAAAACACGAAATAGCAATGAGAAGAGGGTCGAACGGCAATGGCAGCTCTTTTTCATGGAGAAATGAAGCAAGTGGACCCAAGGAGAGCCTTGTGCAGCTACCAGACTCTACGGAGGCTTTTCCAGGCTGCCGTAGCTTGGCAAAAGGTCGCCAAGGAGCATCTGTTCAGGAGCGGACTGAATGAGCTGCCAGTATGGCACATGGCAGGGGAAGACACAGAGGGGGAAATTCCCACACCTAGAGGCAGGAGTTTCTGTGCGGGATTTTCCCTCCGAAGGAGCTGGAACGCTGCAGCCCCTGTAGTTAACCACGTCAGGAGGGCTGCCCAGACCCTTCCTCCGTTCCACGTCCAGGCTCAGAGGTGAAGCGATGCCCATCAACACCTGGAAACATCGCTCGGCCCCTGGCAAGTCAGCGATATGTGAGAGTTCTGCCTTTCTGAGGTCAGGGTGGAGAGGCAAGAGGCAGCCAGCAATGGGGAGAACAAACGGGCGTTTGAGAGAAGAAAACGGTTCAGGGGCTGGTAAGGGGGGCAGTGCTGGGACCCGGCTTCCCGAGGCACCTCCTTCCCCGCGGAAGCAGCGAAGGGAGGATTTAAGTGAATTCCACCAACACCGTGACCCACGCAGGCCGACTGCAGTCACAGTAAATCCCGTCCCCTGCCAAGGACAGGGAAATACCGAATCCCTTCGAGCTCTGCAGCTGCGAGCCCTCCGGTTTGCCCGGCGTCCCTGCGGCCGGAGGACAAACCGCAGCATCCCCGGTGCCCCCGAGCACACGAGGGGCTGCCCTAATGGCAGCAGCACCCACAGCTTGCGGAGGGGCGGCTCCCGGGGCAATCTTCACCTCTATTTTTGGAGTTTAGCCCATTTAAGACAGCAAACCGTTAGCACACACTTGACAAAGAACCTCAGAATAGAAGACGGACTTGAAAAGAGAGCGGTGCTCTGCCAGGCTGTCAGGTCCTTCACCACATCGGCGTAACCCTCACAGCATCACTGACGGCGCAGCGGTGGGTGCTGCTCGCTCTCGGATGCTGGGAGGCTCTGCCCTGGGCTGGCCGCTCAGGGGACACCCAGGCACACGGGGACGGAGCCTTCGTGGCTGCGTCTCCTGCCAAACCTGCCCCGAGCCCCCTCCTGCCTCCCCGCAGGGCGCAGCCAGCCTGGTGCCCAGCCTTGGCTCTGCCGCCCCATTTCCCCCGCGTCCTTGTGCTTGGGGCTCGGTCTGCCCCTTCCTCACCGAGCTCCCCTTCCGACCGCCGGCCGGAGCTCAACCTGCAACCGGGCTGCCAATGCGCCTTCATAGCAAGGCCCTCCGCTGGGTCGGGAAAAGGAAATCCTCAAAACTTTGTGATACGAAAAGGCATTAGAGGCAGAACAGCTCTGAAAGAACCCTATCATCCTGTGTACCATACGCCCTCAGAATATGAGACCTTCCAGATCCTCTCTGCCTTCCCGCAGCTACTTGGGTGGGAAAAGAGTGGTTTCATATGCCTACTTCATACGTGCACTTATTTTTCCTCCTAAGTACAGAACTTTGTCCTGATTAACACCCTCCTTTCGCCAACTGCCAGTCTCCGAAGCTCAGATCTTTATTGAACGTTTTGCAGTTTGCTCCACATTCCGATGTATTATCCCACCCGGCCCTGCCGTTCAACGGACACCAAACAGGAGCGCTTTACAGCAGCGGGGCCAGCCACGGAGCAGGGCATCTTTGATTTTGTTCCTAATGAAAAAAAGTCTCTGGAAAGCCTCCGAGAGCGCTGTATCGTGCTAGAAGTCGTGGCACGCAGCCGTCAGCTAACGCATCGCACCCTGTGCCGCCGAGAGCCCCGGGGAGCCTTCCCTGGACCCAACGAGAGACAGGATCGTTTCCGAGACACAAACCGCACGCCGAGGTCGCAGTGTTACAAATATCTGAAATCAAATGAGATTTGATATAAAAATTCAATTTGATTCTAAATGAAATGAGTAAAGGTGTGCAGTGTTGAAGTCTCTATAGGAACTGTGTGTCATCATAGAATTGTAACCACAACAGATGACTTTGATTGATAACGGGGGACTGGTAAAGGGACTGGGGGTATGTAACACCTGGAACTGATTGCGTGGGGCTAGCGAGCACGGATGAGTTATGTGACAACCTGGCAAAGCGGTCACTCGATTGAGTAACTCGGCAATGAAATGAGTTTTAAGGTGTCCTGAAGTAACCTGCCTTCATTATAATAGTAGAAATTCACGCCCAGAGGTCAAAAAGACCCTTGCCCCGGTGAAGACCCTTCCCCTGAGCATGCGCAGCAGCAGAAGTGATCATGTAACCGTACGATGTAACTCTATGTAAATGATTTCGGGGAAGAGTGATCTTGACTCCGGGCGTTATATGAACATGGATATGGAATATCTCCAGGGCCTGCTGACGGTCCCAGCCGGGTGTGCCCGTGAAGCGGAGCGATCC